CCACGGAAACGTCTTTGGACAGCGCTGGCTCTTCGGCTTTGAAATGGAGATGAGCACCGCAACCCTAGAGTCGGATTCGACTGGCTTTCAAGCAAGGGAACCTTTACCTTTATAGATAGATAGATATGTATATGTGTGTGTGTGTGTGTGTGTGTATATATATATATAATATTTTATTTCTCAAAAAGTGAATGTTTTCTCTCACCAAACCTTTGGGTACCCATCCCTATCCTCTCCTCCTCCATTTTACCCTCACAACAACCCTGTGTGGTAGTTTAGGTTGGAAGTATGACTGGCTCACTAATACGGTTGCCAGCCTCCAGGTGGGTATGTAGAAACAACAGAGAGATCACGGGAAGGATGCAGACAATGAAGAAAACAGCCGTGATGTAGTATTATGAAAATATATATTTAAACTGCAGTTTTGCAGTGAGTAGTATTTCTTTAATAGGTAATCGAGACGTACGCACACACATCTTCATTGTTTTCTTCATTGTCTGCAGTCTCCAGGTGGGCCCTGGGGATCTCCCACTTTTACAACTGATCTCCAGCTGACAGAGATCGGCTCCCTTGGAGAAAATGGCTGCTTTGAAGGGTGGAGTCTGTGGCATTGGACCGTGCTGAGGCCCCTCCCCTCCCCAAACCCTGCCCACTCCCGGCTCCACCCCCAAATTCTCCAGGTGTTTCCCAACCCAGAGCCGGCGACCCGACTCACTGAGCAGAGACTGGAACTGATGTCTTCTCAGGTCTAACTCAACCCTTTAAACGGTGCTCTATAGAAGACTGTCCAGCCCTTTGCTCGATGCAGAATATGGCCTCTACGAAAGATCAGTTGCCACCTAGAGTTACCAAGCTCCAAGTGGGGCCTGAAGTTCTCCCAGAATTACACATGATCTGTTCCTCAGCGGAAAATGGCAGTTTCTCTAGAAAAGACAAAAGAATTGCTAATGTAGCATTTTTTCCCCAATTTTTCCGAAAATTTCCGTTTCCGTTTCCCCCTGAAAAAAAAACGGGTTTTTTTCCGAGCTTCAAAATTTCCGGAAATTTTACATCTCTACCCAGGCTCCACCTGGAGGGTGGCATCCCTAGTAGCAACCCTAACCATTGTGGGCCACAGACATGATTCCTCCTTTTGGTGATGTCTCCACCCCCTGACGTCTGCAGCTCTGCCTTCTCTCTTGCAGGTAGAATCCCGCACTCTGGCTTTGCTCCGCTTGATCACCCAAGATCTGGGCCCAGCCTACGTCCGGCTGATGTTTAGCATCGAAGGCCTCCCCGGCAACGTCCGGGAGCGAGTGGACCAAGCCGTCAGCAACGTCCGCCAGCTGCAAGCCTGGAATCCCGCACTCTGGCTTTGCTCCGCTTGATCACCCAAGATCTGGGCCCAGCCTACGTCCGGCTGATGTTTAGCATCGAAGGCCTCCCCGGCAACGTCCGGGAGCGAGTGGACCAAGCCGTCAGCAACGTCCGCCAGCTGCAAGCCTCCTTCTCGTCCGCCACGTCCTTCCGAGACTTGTCGTCCCGCCTCCTGGCCCAGGGCCGCGAGCAGATCGCCAAGGCGCGTGAGGCTCTGGACATGCTGGTGGAGTACGTGGCCCTGAACATGCCTATGAACTGGGTCGTGGGGCCCTTCCGAGCATCGCCAGCAGGTGCGGAGGAGGCCACGATGGCGGAAATGCCCACATCCGGTAGCCCAGAGGGAGCAGTGAAAGCACCAAAGGATGCAGGCGAGACCACCGGGTTGAGTGCGGCTCTGAAGGAGACCGTGGTGCCCCCCCAGCCACGAAGGGCTGCGCCCAAATCGGCTACGGTGCCCAAGCAAGCCAGGGAGACGGAAGCAGGAAAAGTGAAAGCAGCAGGCGAGACTCAGGAGGCGGAAGCGACTTTTGAGGCACCGAAGAGAGCGAAGAGAGGGGCCGAGGGGAGGGAAGGGGAAGCCAAAAGGGCAGGGAAAAGTTCTCTGAACGAGACCGCTGAAGCGCCTGAGAAGAAGCCGTAAAGTTTCCACATGTTTTTTCCTGGAGCTGTTGGACGGGTCCTCCTGGCCGGCCACGCTCTCTTGCGCCACCCCAGACAGAAAGCTCCTCTCAGCCCATCCACCTCTCAAACGAATACATTATTTATTGGCCTATCCACAGAAGAGGTTCCCTGCAGTGCCTCTGTACGACCTTCTGGCTTCTGCCTCCTCCTGATCCCTGCTGCACCAGTTAGGATTGGAGCTTTCAGTCACCCACGGATGCAGACATGCACGGGGATTCCTCCTCTGCAATGGGGCAGCCCGCTGCTTCTCTGTATGCCATGCTGGTCTAAATAGCTTCTTCTCATTCTGCATCAGCACCATCCATTCTCGGCATTGTTCTCCTTCAGCAGAATTATCAGCCTTTAGGGGAGGCTCTCCGTTGAACCTCTGCATGAATCCCTGTTCAGAATTAACCTCCTTTTTATGGGAGGCTAGCCCTGGGAAGAGTGGCTCACAGATAAATAAAGGAGTGGCTTTCTTTCAACGTTAAGCAAGCCTTCAGCTTTTAGAACCAAAATTGCCCCCGCTCTTGACATCGGGAGAGTTTGGCTTAACTAGTGTGAGTGCTGTCTGGCAGATCAGCTGGCTTGGGCCCATTTATCCATGTATCTGAATATGACCTGCTGCTGATACCCCTTTTCCCCTTGCCTGTAATGTCGTAATCGCTTCATGCCCCGCTGTATGTCTCCCGCCCACCTCATACTGTGACGCACAAGCAGGGGATTTAGTGTCGGGATCTTAATGACGGTCCATCTTCCTCTTTTGTTTTTTGAACGAAATAAAAGTTTGTGGTCCAGAACAGCTGAAGAGATTTGTTTGAAGCTAGTGGGTGATGAGGATGGCAATGCTCCCTCTAAACTGTGGAGTCTTGTGAGCGAAAATGCTACTTTGTGAGCTACCAGCATTAAAGCTGAGAGCGAGCGATTTGGCTACTGCATAAATTAGTTTGCTTTGGAGCCAAGACAAAAATGGGTGATCCGGAGGCTAAAAAACTCACAATAAGGAGCTGCGGTGGCTCAAGTGGTTAAGACGCTGAACTGCAGGCTGTGGAAGGTCGGTAGTTCAGCAGTTCGAGACCCGGGTTGCCGCATGACGGAGTGAGCTCCCGTCTCTAGTTCCAGCTCCTGCCAACCTAGCAGTTCGAAAGCAAGAAATTGCAAGTAGATAAATAGGGACCACTTCGGTGGGAAGGTAACAGCGTTCCTTGCGCCTCGGCGTTTAGTCATGCCGGCCACATGACCACGGAAACGTCTTTGGACAGCGCTGGCTCTTCGGCTTTGAAACGGAGATGAGCACCGCAACCCTAGAGTCGGATTCGACTGGCTTTCGAGCAAGGGAACCTTTACCTTTACTAGCTCACACTAAACTCAGCTTAGAGGGAACCCAGGTTACGGGGTTTCAGAAAGGTGGGTTTTAGAGGCAGGGTGGGAAACAAAAAGGTGAAAGTGCGTGCAGGTTTCCCTGGAAGGACGTTCTGGGCAGCGGGGCTGGGGGAGGGATGGAGAATGGAGAACAGAAGGACCTACATTGGGCTAAAAGTGGAGATATTCCAGAGGCCGGTGTGGGGCTCCACTGTACTTCCATGAGCTACCGGAACACACAAATGACGCCGCCTTGTACTGAATCAGACCCTGGGTCCATCAAGGTCAGTCTTGTCTACTCAGACTGGCAGCTGCTCTCCCAGATCTCAGGTCAAGGCCCTTCTCATCACCTACAGCCTGGTCCTTTTGACCAGAGATGCCGGGGACCGAACCTGGGACCGTCTGTATGCCAAGCAAATGCTCTACCACTGAGCCATGCCCCCTCCAGATTTTTTTTTTTTAA